TTGTTGTTATAATTATCGATGCTTTATCAACTATTGGACGGATTGGATTGTATGTACCGGTATGGGACGGTGACATACTGGGTTTGGATTAGCTCAAATTGCTAAGTCCTACCTATTTTGGAGTAAGGGCACGGGTTATAAAATACAATCCTCCTTATATATATAAGTCGGTACGGTTGAATACGCCGAGTGACTTACTGGATTTCTTGTGGATGGATAGAAACGGAGTTTAGATATATTTTTATGTTACCGTGTCATGAGCTTGAGTCTCAGTGTCGACGGTTAGGGTGCGTATATGCAGTTGGATGTGTAGCTGACTGTGAAGGTTGAGGTATACCCTGTTTAGGTTTAGGTACTCATACCCACTCAGGTGCGTATTGTGTGATGCCTTCTATCCAGGTTGAGACCCCCTTCATGGCCTAGCGAGAGTCCAGTAGTGTGGATATATTTATGTACGGATTATTAGTTATTGTTGAACTATTTAGTATGTACATGCGTATCGAGTCTCTGCTTGGATTGTAGTAGGTTAGAACTTGTTCGTGGGCCTGACCCACTCCTATTTTTCAGGTATACGTCAGTTCCAGGCTTGAGCTTGTTCGTGCTGAGCAGAGACGATCTTCCATTCTACCGACGATGTAGGATTTCTTTCCAGATCTTGGATTTGGGTTTTATCTTTTATTTTACTTTCATTTAGTGTGAGATTTTTATTAGGGGTCCACTAGAGATGGATTCCCGAGTTGTTCAAATTATGGATATTTGGTTTATCAAATTTAAGTATTTAATTATTTAAGGATTATCTTTTAGTTTCTTTTCAGCTTTAAACTTTCATTTCTTAATTCATTTTGTATTCCGTGTTCGTTATAAAATATTAATTGTTTGATACTCCCTCGGGTTTGGGCTTGGGCCTGATCAACCCGTGTCTCGGATCCGAGGGGTATCATAGCTTATTCCCATAGTACTGGCTGATGAACCGATCGCAAAGGCTTCGGAAACTATCAATCGATCCCCTCGGTAAGTTTTTGAACCAATTAAGCGTTGGTCCAGCTAAGCTTGTTAGAAAACATTTGCACATTAAGGAGTCGTTCTCCGTGTTTAGTGCCATTTTCAATTGGATATGATACACATGATCGATCGGATCAGTCGTTCCATCAAACAGGATGAAAACTGGCATGGAGAATTTCCTCGGACTCGGAGCATTCAGAATTTCATCGGTAAACGGCGAGTCAGCCGTCCGAGCTGCTGAACGAAGGGCCTCATTCTCTCTGTGGAACCTTACGGCAGCTCTCTGATCCGTAGATCTCCTTTCTGAGCTTCGGTAGTCTAACGTAGCCATTGAAGGTCGATAAAGCGAATCGGATGATCTTTCCTCCATGTATTCCTTCTGCCAGATCGGTGTAGTTTTGTGATGTCCGAACTCCGCAGCTTCTTCTCGGTTGAACCTCTCCTGATACGGACTAAAAGTCATTGCCTCGTTCCGCCTGATCTGCTCACGCCGTGGATCTAAGTGAATTGAGCCTTCTCGATCATCAAAATGACGAGGATTTGGCGGCAAATCATCCGGCCTAACCTCCTCGTGACAAGGATTTGTCAGATTGTTCTCTTCCTCTTCACCTTGACGCGTAACAACAGGATGCACAACCTCCTCTCCCGCTAGAAGCGGTTACAGAATCGCCGGAGCTTCTTGGCACTGCATTCCAGCTTTCAGCTCTGCATTATCTTTCCTGAGAACTTCGATCATGTTCAGCAACTCATCAAGCTTCATCTACTGGACATTCTCCACCGGATTGGAGCTCTCGCCTTCTATCATGATTTCGGAGCGAAGCAAAGGCATGAATCACAAGATCTTAATCAGATCTGAGCTTTACTGATGCAAATCTCGTTGGATCTGGACTCAAATTCACCGAATCGCGATCACAGTTCGCTAGATCTGAGTTTTTCTAGCTTCTAACTCACCGATCTAGCTGCGATTAGGCAAATCTCAGCTGCGTAATTCCAACGCAAACACGTCAAAACCAACAATAATCAAGAATTCCTTTAGAAAAAACTGCAATCTCTCCGATCTGGATTCAATTTCTAGAAATCTTGCTTCGTCTTCACGGATCAGTTTGAATTAACATGACATCGATCAAGCATGAATGAATGTTCTTCATCGTTTCCCACAGACGGCGCCAATTGTAAATGCAAGAAAATCTCTCCCTTCATTTTGACAGAGTTTTAGTACATTTCACAATAATCTCCCCCTTCTTTACTTCCTTCACCGCCTATTTATAGGCAATTACAGGTGCTGCTGGACTATCAACTTTGGGCCTTCTTTCCAGTGGGCTTGGCCTTCTTTGGTGGATCTTCCGAGCTCGGCCCATTCTGTGGTGCTCCTATATGGGCTGAATTTCAATTGCTTGCGCCGATGCCACGTCCACGGACTATAACCGGCCTATATTACTTATTGTATCCTCACTAAGTAATGAATCCATATAAATTGTGACCTAGTTGAGGGATTTGCTTGAAACTTAACAGGTCTATAATTAGCATAGTATGGCCAATTGCCCATTTCAACTCTATAATTAGGTCAATGTATTTTGAAACATGAAGAGCAAGCACCTTGATTTTCATATCCTGCATTTTGGCCGTCATACTCTGCAGTTTATCAGAACCTTGCTCGCCTCACACTGTTTTAAGAAGGTAAGCAATGGAAGGAAAAAAGATGGACGTTTAGAGCATCAAACTTTGAAAAAGTTGAAGGAACTAAATGCAAGGATTGAAAAGCATAAAGGAACAGATTTGTTTTTAAGAGGGAAGTGCAATAGAATGATTTTATAGTAACACACTCGAAACATTTAAGGTGCTTTTTTTTTACGGAGTCATAGAGAAATTTGGGAATTCTACGTGAAGCCCGAACCCCACCTTTCGTTTTAAAGGAGAATATATCAATGGATTTATATGCATGAATTGGCCATTTTACTCGTTTTTTTACCCTTTTGACAGATGCTTTGATGCGTGAATTGGGTTCAATTAATCCTCGATTCGCATTGATTAGATAACGACTAAGAGTTAAATGCGGTAAGCAAGAGGTCCTAAGAGCCAAATACCCTGATGAATATTGTTATTATTATGTAATTTAGAGTTCACTCTTTTGAATATTATTATTATTTTGTAATTTAAAGTTTGCTCACATTTGGTTGAAGGAGGTAACAAAGGTGATTTTTCGAAAAAAACAAGAAAAGAAAAACAAAGGTGATTAGCTACAATTTTTAATAAAATATCAATTGTTAAAAACAGAAAAGAATAAGAAGAAGCCAAAAGAGAGGTTATTTTCGTCAACTCATCTGAACCCTAAACACCCTGCCCCTATTACCTTCGATACTCTCGTCGCCGCTCCAACTCAATTCCTTCTCTCCTCTTCTCAACCAAAATTTGCAGCAGCGCTGTAGGGAGACAACTCGGCAAAGGAAAAAATGAAGTACAACCCGAGGGTGTCGAGTTCGCGTCGCAAGTGCCGGAAGGCGCATTTCAGCGCACCCTCAATTAAAAACACCAGGGAACACATTGCTCACCAGAAACCCTAAATAACCACCTCAAGGAAACAAATTGAGATCATACTAATACTATACCATCATAATTGAGATAATGCAATCAACCTAATGCTCACAATTTTATCTAGGCCAAGCTACCGTTGCAACTTTATCTAAAAGTAAATCTATACAAGACATTAAATAATGGAATCATCATGCCAATCAATTTTTGCACAAACTTAAACTTGGTGGAGGCACAAGACTAAATTGCTGCATACTCATAAATAAATAATATATATATATATATATATATATATATATAGGGTTTTGATTTGGATAAAGTCTAAGATAGTTGAATGTGATACAAAAAAAAAATAAAAATAAAAATAAAAAAATGAGCCAAGTTGGATCGTCAACATTATTGTTGATGACTATGAAGATGTCAATAAATACAATCCGGTATCAGGTATGGATGAAGAAGATGACCATCCATATGAGCCATTCTCCCGTTAGAGAGTTATTGTCCAGTATTTTTCAAGGAAGGGAAAGATGATCAGAAGATGGTGAAGGGTTGCCAAAGCTTTAGGTGAGTTATTGTTCAGTATTTTTAAGTAACTGTTTCCAGAGTTACTCGCTTAATTTATAATTCTGAAAACAGTTTTCAAGAATTTAAAAAATAAAAAATTGTTTTCAAAATTATAACTCATTTATGAAAACTTAGTTATAATTTTTGTCTTTTATAGTTATTTGAAAATAATTTTTTATTATTTGAATTCTTGAAAAATGTTTTCAGATTTACAAACTAAGCAAGTAATTTTCAAGTCATTAATAATTAAATATTCAATCTCTCACATTTTTCCTATTTGAATTTCTTTAGCATTACAAAGGCAGAATATGCAAGTATCACTTAATCAAGCCACAAAATGGTACCCTTTTTATGTGTATTACAATTGAAAATAAAAGCAAAACAAGTAACACAAACATACAAAAAGAGAACAAATTAGAACACTTTTAATGGAAAAATTGACATCTCTACCATTTTAGTTTTTGCAATTTCAGCAAGTGCAAAAATTAGAGCATTCCAAGCGTTGCTAAGTATACTTTGCCTTGGTATTACATTGAAATTAAGAAATTCAATCAACCATATTAAAAGGAAAATGATTGTTTAGTCGATTTTTGAAAGTAATTGTATAGCATCACACTTCCACTACATCAGGTGTATATCTCATCGGTTACACTATTACAAATAGGCCTCATACTGAAAACACCAACCCCCATACTAGGAGTTACTCATCTTTATTGAAACAAGTAATGAAACAACAAACACCCTCAAAAGTTAAAACCATTTTTTCACAAGATTTCAGAGGACAACACCAATTCCAGAAACAAAAACAAATCGTTTCCGGAGGTAAGCAAGAGAAGCCGTGTCTAAATAAGTGTTTGAAACAGTAAGTGCAGAACGACAAATAAAAAAGTACTCCACTTAAATCATCATATCTGGATAATTGGCTTATAGGAATCTGAGTTCGGCTTGGACAGATAAGAATCCAAAGAGTCCGAATCGAAACCATATCCGAAACCCTGCCCATACCCAAACCCGACCCCAACACCACAACCCATCCCAATCCCAAAAACCATCTTCACATGGTTCCATGACAACCCATCATACCCAACTCCTCCGACTAACCCGAAGCCCACTCCCACTCCACATCCGATCCCCACACCGCCTCCGGGACCCAACATCGTTTCCTGTATCTTCCGGCCACTGTCTTGGAGGAATCCGGTAACGGAGAAGGGCTTCTCTTTGCGTCTTCTCTTGTTTCTGCTCCAAAAGGAATTGGTGTCCGCCTTCTGAATCCCATTTATGAAACTGGTTTTGGGCTTCATGAGTTGTGAATGCCGGAATAGAAAAGAAGGGTGTACTGAATTTCAACTCAGATTGTTAGGTGGGTAGCCTTATCAAATACAATATCTTGTGGATACATTTTTTTTTCATATCCTTTTAATGTTGTCGCAAGTTGCTTGTTTTCTTCTGCAGAATGACTGGGTATTACAGTTAAACTATATCTCATATATGGTCTAAATGTAAGTCACACGAGTATCCCTCTTTGGAGAAAGAATTCCCTCATTTTTAATATTTTATTATTTATATTATCTATATTATATGCCACATAAATAAAATATTCATTTCGAACTGTTACAATCTTAAAATATTATATTTTAGTAATTGTACCGTGCATTTGATCCAAAATATAGCAATGGGGCAAGATAGATATAGAAAGCAATTGAAACACTCGCAAAAAAAAACGGTGTTGTTTGGACAATTAAAAGACTTGAGGGCTCAAATCTGAGAGCAGATTTCATATTCTCAATTTTTTAAAGTTTATTGAAGAGCCCACTTTTTACTTACCTTTCAAATTTTGGATTTGACAGCCCAAAAGAAAAGAGCATTGAAGTTGCTCTCACGCGGTATCTCTAATCAGTCTCAAACTACTTTATGATTCTATCCTTGTATAAATATATAAAGAGTATGTTTTAAATGAATAGATTTATCAAATCTGTGCTACCCATTGGGCTCAAATATCAATGGTTGTTGACTGGGCTTGTTATAGGGCAAAATTCTATTGGGCTTATCTACAACCAGAAATGGGTTTGCAATTTTGAATTTCTCAACAACATAAGGTTTATCGAACCATGGTTGGTATTTGGTCCAAATTAGTTTGGGCAAATATTAAGTGAAGTCTATAGAAATCAGCAACTTGGCATGAACCGATATCACATTGGAATCGAGAGTTGCTAAATATGGATAAATCTGTTCAAAGTAATTGGGATAGGTATGATAAATAGGGGGTTTCAATAATTTTCAAATATGGAAAGAGCTAACCCAAAAAAATGAAATTTAAAATTTTATTGAAAGTTTGACACACTGTTTTACTAGTATCATATTGACTGACCACTCTGATGAAGAATTCATCATTGGCGGAAAAGGGTTATAATAGTGCTAATGATTTTGTCATTGAATTTTATTAAAAAAACAACGTGTTTTTTAAGAAGAAAAATACGTAGCATCCACAATATTGTTTCCCAAACAACATGGAGGCCAAAGAGAAATATAAGAAAACATGACACCAATACAATAGATATGATGTGAAACGTGTATATATGACATATATATTAATTATATACGGATATACCAATGATACTGTTATAGTTCCCAAGAAAATTCGAATTGGGCAGCCTACAAAAGGCTTTGAAGTCTTCTATATACTTTTTTTATATTGTGTGAGCTGAGGTGGTCAAGCTTCTGGAAGAACGCCTCCATTTGAAGTCCAACAGCGGGGCACGACCTTTCTCCTTAAAATCTGTATTTTGACATTTTTTTTCTTGACTTAATTGTCCTCTGATGCAATACCAAATCAATAATTTTATTAGGGTCAAATTACTAAATTAGAGTTTAGAAAGAAAATTCAAAACTTCACTGATTTCCATCTTACAAGGCAGGCCAGGTGTTCATGTGAATTTTGGTATGAGAGGCAATATTTCACTTCATTTTTAAATATTAAAGTAATTTGATAATAATGAACAAGAAGAATCAAAGTATAAAGATATTTTGTCATTTAAAATAAATAAAAATCAGTGCTTTTATTTAAAGAATGGTGTGAATTTTTATTTATTTTTTTGGTATTGATGTAAAATATTATTATTATTTTTAACTAGCACACAAGTTTTAAGTCGCTCTTGCACTCCACGCTGCTCTCACTCTTGCTTTTCGCGCGCTCTAGTTGTCGTTTTCTCCCACTTGACTTAAATTTTTACAACTTTTGCGTTTTCGCTCTCACACTCACTCCCGCACTCGCTTTATGTGATTTACCAGTTGGACCCTCCATCAACAGATGGAGTATTTGAAAATACTTGCAAGACATCAATCACAAATTTTATTTAATAATGTATTTTAATTGAATGAGCAACGAGTCTCATGCATGATAAACGTTGCTTGATACGACATTGGTCGGTGGAGGTGAAATAGATTGGTCGGTTGATCTTGTGGTGATAAAAGAGAGTAGGGTTTTGTGAGAACGGTACCGGAGAGGAGAGGCTAAGAGGAGGTTTAAATTTTGTGGAAAATCACAGTTGAGACTTGAGGGTGAAATAACATAGACGTTTATGTAAAAACAAGAGTGGTTGGGTGTTGTAACTGTACGAGAATTGATTTGGCTTGGCTGTTGGCTGTTGTAGTTGTACACAAATTGAATAATCAATCTTCCATGTCTTCTTTTTTTCATACTCTTATACTATTATAAAAATAATAATAATAATAAAAAAATACAAATGTATGAATTTTCTTCTCTCTGGCCATCCACCTATTAAAAAAAGCTTGAAAAGTCAAACCGTCTTTATTGAAATGTCCCCCCATTCACCTGCGACCTACTTTGTTCCAGCATTTAAATATACAATCTTGGTCTATAATTATGATCAAATACGCAACCCCATTTACATTATTGCTCTTCTAATATACACACACCTACTACATAATTTATCCATTCACTTCTGTCTCACCCATTAACAAAACTCTCTCTCTCTGTAAGAAAGAAATGGAAGTAGAACTTTCAAAGGGGAGCGTGAACAGGTACTGGAGGAGAAGGCGGTACCGGCGACTCGACGCTGCAAACAGAAAGAATGTGCAGATCGTTAGGTTCGGAGGGCCTCGCCGGAGGTCGTGGAAGATCAAAATCATCCCCAAGTTGCGTTTGATGAAGAGAGCCATATCCTCAGCCTCGCCCATGAAGCTTTGGGCCAGGTTCAAGAACGCTTATATCAACATGATGCTTAATCTGGCGGGAAACGTTGGGGCGCTGAACGACGGAAATGTTTTCCGCGGGAAACGGATTCCCACGGCTCGCCAAGTTCCTACCGCTCCTTATTCCAACGATGAATTTGAGAATCGGCTTGTTTTCGAGATTTACAAGGCCTTGATGGCTTCCAGAGAATTGAGTCAATTGACTACCACTACTGCTACTGCATAGTCTAGTGTACGGTGGTCACCGGAGAGGGTTTGCCTTACCCCAACGCGCCGTAAGGTCGCTTCGTTATGATATTGGAGCTTACGATTTCAAAATTGAAATCGATTCCGCACGGCAGAGATAAGATTGCATATATCTAATTCTCTTCAAATTGGACAACAACAAAACTGAGATAGTCATTTATGGATTGTGGTCCATGTAATATTTTTCTTATTATCTATGTAGGTATGTATATGTATTTTCTATGTTTGTAAGACATCCTTGCTTTTACCATTAGTTAATACATGTGGATTATTCATATGGAACGGTGTGAAAGTATTTTAATTAATTCATTTTTGGTTTATTTTATTTTCCTTCCAATGGAAGAGGAAGAGGCTTACCTGACTCTGTCCGAGCATGAAAATCTTAAACTCGATTTCCATGGGATTTTTTATATATATTAAATAAATATTCATACACACATGTTATAAATTGTCTTGGAGCTCAAATCCTCATCTCCTTTGATGGGGGCGAGTTTGATCGTTTTGGTCAAATCACTCCACTCTTTATAGCGGATTCTAAAGAGCTTGATCACATCCTTCCACTAATTTTTTTTCCCCTCAAGTTTTCTCTGTTATGTCTAATTTCTTTTTGATTTTTTTAAAAATGTTTTACTTATTTACCTTGAAATGTGAAAAAGTAATACGTAATAGCGTTGTTCTATTTAATTATGAAAAAAAAAAAAAAACTGTATTAGTTCAAATTATTAATTTTTTTGGGTAAATAGTTATGTTTTATCATAATGACTTCGTCTTAATCGATGGCTGCCTTTACCCATAATAATTGAGTTGAATGATGACAAACAAAATTCTTTCACGATATCATTCAAATTTATGTGAATCCACCTTGGAGCAAAAGCAAATTCCCTCACGTGCCAAATCTTATCTTATATTATCTCTAATGGATTATTACATATAAATACTACTAATAATTTATATTTATCATTTAATAAAGTTAAAGTCTTTTTTCAAAAAATAAAGGTATAGAAAAACATTGTTTATTAATTGATATATATGTATCACTTTTTTGTACGTGCGTGCATGTATCACTTTTTGTCATTAAATATCACTTTTTATTTGTACAAAAAGTTGTATCTATGTGACAAAAAGTGACACCTCAGTGATAATAAACAGTATTTTTTTATATTCAGGTCAGCATTTTAATTAATTTTATTTTTTCAGAATTATAAAATTTTATTTTCATTAAATATTAAATATGGATCATAAGCACTTTTTATATGTAATAATTCCTATCTTTAATATAAGGATGGATACCAAAAAAATTTAGTCCAAGTGATGTGGATTCCTCCACAGTCCATGACAAAAAAACACGTGCATGACTTACTTACCAAAATAAATTAAAAGGACAATTTTTGTCAACGAAATATCTGCATAGGTTGGAATCATGAGATAACATGCATCTCCGTAGCTAATTAAACACCCCCCCAAAATGAGTTCATGAATTTATTGCAATTTTTTTTTTTAAAATAAAAATAAAAATTGGAAACTAATTTAATGGAAAAGGATAAGTATTATCGAACCTAATAATCATTTGTGAGGAAAATACACATATGGTGGCAAAAATATTGGGATATGATGAACACACTAGTATACAAAGGTGAAGTCGTATAACACGTAATCAATTGATTGCTGCGGTCAAAATTTTTTATTGACCTTGCACATCTAGATGTGCCGTCGGTCAAGTTCCAAATCCATAGTCCTTATGTGAAGTCAAAGAAATAAAAATAAAAAATTGACAAAATAACAAGCAATAAAAATTATTTGGGAGAAATTTAATTGCTATTTTTACAGTGGCACAATAATTTCCGTGGCACAATAATTTCCTTCACATCAGAATTTGCTGAAATTATAATAAAGTACCATTCCTAAATGGATTGATAATGTATTATTAACCCAGCTTAAAAATTGTTCAAACCCATTCAATAGCCATTGTTAATAATAACCGTCCTTGATATTTGCCAATTTGCAATATAGAGTTCCACTTTTAAGCAAATTTCATAACAGTGACATTCAACATCAAGGGTTTTTCTGACTTTTTAAAATAAAAAGCCAAAAGTTGTAGTCTTGTGAGTTTTTTTAACAGAGAAGGAGAAAAAATTTATTGTATGCCACATGAATCTTCTATTGGCATAGGGACGGACCTACATGAGGAGGGCAATTGCCCCCTGAATTTTTGTTTATTTATTTATTAATATACTCTATTAATTTATTCTTTTTCCGTTATATATTTCTAAAATATTACTATGACTCCTTAAAATTATTTAAAAAATTTATTATTGTCTTCCCCCACCTTATTTGTTGGGTCGTCCCTGATTTTGCACCCTACTTATGATTATGGAATAAATACGCAAATCATGAACAATATGTCCATTTGTCAACCTTATACTTGAAGCATGAACAACAATATGTCCATGTGTCAATCTTCTATTAACAATCATCGGATAAACTTGATATAAACAAAAATATTTTGGGGGAACATGTCATTTCATCAATAATACCAGTTTTCTTCTCATTAATTAATAAATAGACTGTCTTCAATTATGTAAAATAGTAATTAATTTGCATCATCACAAGGTAAATGCATGGAAATTGTTGGTGGGTCTTTGAAATTGAGCAGGATTAGAAATATTCCACTAAAGCTCCTTCGTTTGACATTTCTTGGTTGGTAGAGCTTGAATTTTGAATTATCCAACAAAGTTTACATATAGTTGACATTCTCTTGCAATTATTTGATGAATATATCTCTTTGTCGTAAATAATATTGGCAGGAACATGGAGAGTGATCCAGTTTTTAAGCTGTTAGGCAATTAGTCTCTTTTACGGTGCACATGAGAAAATAATATTAAGATCATAGAAATGTAAAAATCGAGTGATTGAGCCAAGAAGTAAGTAGAGATATGGTTATTTAAAATCAAAGGAATAGAGAGAGAATCAATGGTACGTGACTATGAATTTTTTAAGAATACAAGGGTAAAATAGGGAGAAAAAATCATTCTTTAATGGTTGATATGGAATAAAGATTAATATTTATGTGATATAAGAAAAAAAAAAAAAAAATGATATTGATGATTTATATTTATGTTTGAATAGATAGACATAAGAGAAAAAATAAAATAGATAACAATAAAATTATTATCATATATATTTTTTAATAATGATATTTGCACCATATTGGATGCGTTTCTATCCTGTAGATGTTGTGGATAAAACTTAAACATGGGTCCCATATGTTGTAGAAAAAATCAAACATGGGTCCCATACACTAAATCAAATAGTTAGAAATTCTTGGGCCCAACAAATAGGTTAGATAATTCTGTGTAAGTATCATTTTCATACATTTAAATAGATTGGATACGAGTGAAATAATAATTTTTTTTTTTTAATTATTGAGGGCAGTTTTGGAATTATGAAAACACTACGGGCTTGCTTGGTTTATAATTTTGAAAACAGAAAATTGTTCTCAATTTGAAAATATGATTCTTTTATAACTGAATTTTCATAAAACAGTTTTTAGAAAACTAAATTAAGCAGAGTTTTTATATAATTTTCTATTTTAAGTTCTTGAAAACAGAAAATTGTTTTAGAGATAAAAACCAAATAGATCCTACTTAACTTTCTCTTCTTATATTCTCATTGCTAATTCTTTTTTATTAGTGTTTTTTTATAAAAACAATTATATTAAGAAATAATTTGATATTATCAAATTTGGTAACATCTTATTAAAAGATAATTTTGTAAAATTAGTAATAAAAATATTTTAAAAAATATTATTACAAAATAAATTAAAAAAATAACTTAATTATAAAAAATACTTATAATAATGTGTCGCCAAATCATTCCATCCAATGGAAGCCTAAAGAAGATACTGGTAGAACTGAAGCCGTAAGAAGGTATAATTTTGAGGGAGATAGGATATATAAAAGGGCGCAACTTTGGGGATGTGTACATGGACAGGTGGATGTACGTAGTGGGCTGGGCCTGTGGACCCTTGGAAGTTGGGTTTAGAAATAATCAAATATAATTAAAAATAATTGTAGAAAATTGTTTTTGGAATTCAAGACTAACACCAAAAAAAATACAAAAATAAAAATTATTTTAAGAGTAAACATTTTGATATAAAAAATATTTTACATCAAAACAAACAAATATTTGTCTTCTATATGTCACCTTCTTTTTTTTTTTTTTTTTTTTTCTTTTTTTCATATCTGAAATTCAACCAGAAGGTTCAAGCTTAGCCTGAACACACACACACACACATATATATAAGGAGGTCCGAAGTGACATGGGCCGGATATGACCCGCAAACACGACATCCGGTCCGTGCAGATGGGTCAAGCCCATAGAGAGACACTGCCATATGGGCCGAACGCGAATAGCCCATCAAAGATGACCAAAACTCACAGCGGAACGGGCCTAGATCTAGCAGTCCATTAATGTTTGTAAGTATCTATAAATAGGAGAAGTAATGGATAGAGGAGGAGGAGAGATATTTTTGGTTGAAATGTAAGAGTTCTAGAGGGAGAAAGAAAAAATGAATTTCTTGCATCTTCAATTGACGCCGTCTGTGGGAAGCGTTGAAGATTGATTGATCATTGATCAATATCGCGTGGATTCAGACCAATTCGTTGAAACGAAACTCGATCTTTGGGAGTTGGATCCAGATCTGAGCGATTGTGACCTACTCTGGAGGAATTTTAGTTCCTGTTGCTTTGGCGGAAGTGGCTTCAGATCTACGCAACAACGAGTTGTTCGATTGTGGCAGGATCTGACGGATTTAGAATTCGGACAATTCAGATCTCGTCAACCGTAAGCATAATTCGGAGAATTCGAAACCAGATCTGAAAAATTCACACTCACAAAGCTCAGATCTACTCACGAACTTGAGATTAATGCCTTTACTCCGTTCAGGAATAATGATAGGTGAAAGCTCCAATCCGATGGAGG